GCTTTCTCTGATGATGATTTGTCGTTTGAGTTTGTCGTCTCTGGTTGGGCATTACAGGTGTTGGCAGTGTTTGTGATCATGACTACATCTGTTGTAGTACCGGGAGCAGTAGATGTGGCCCCCACAGTCTCGGAATCTCGAGGAGAGGCCTCGGCCGCGTTGTATCCCATAGCGCTGCTTATTGACGAGCTTCGTAGTGAGGATGTCGATCTTAGAGTCAACGCTATGAATCAGCTGGTAGTAGTAGTAGTAGAGGGGTTGCTTGGGCATTCTGAGTGCACTGTCAGGACCATATAGCGTGTGCATTGGGGCCGGTTCGGACACGGGAAGAGCTGCTACCATTCCTCACTGAATTGGTAGTAGTAGTTGCTCGTCGTTGTTTCATCGATCGGCCTGACTTGTAGGCTATGGTTGACGATGTAGCGTCTGATACGGTGGATGAGACTAGGGTCTTGACGGCTATGGCTCGGGTGAGCAGGGGTGGAGGTTCCTAGTAGGAGGGCACATGGGTTGTGTCCTTTGGGAAGGTACTTAATGCTGATTTCATGCAGTGGCTAGGCGGGGCGCAGTACGGTCAGTGTTTGCTGAGACCGCTGGAGGAGCTCGCCAATTCTGATGATGAGCCGAGACGCGAGGAGGCTGTGAAGAGCCTTATAAGCATCGCTAAGGTGTCATCCCTTGTGCTGCTGCTGGTAAGAGTGATTGCCGTTATTCAGGCTCTACCACTGAATACACTGGAGACCTACTATGTGCCGATGTTGCGCAACATGGCGGCTTCCGACTGGTTCTGTCAGCGAGCGGTAGCTGTCGCCCTCCTACCTGCTGTTGTATCTCGTAAGTGTCTCATTGAGGTAGCATCGTTGTAGTAGTAGTGTGAGCTTACGATCAGGCCTGTGTGCTCGGAAGAAAGGCTCAGGTGGAGGTAAGATCATCGGTGACCCGATGGTGGTATTGGTCGGTATAGATCCCCCACTGGCGTTGGAGTTGGTGAATACACTCTTCACGAGCTTGGGGGCGGACGACTCTCCCATGGTCCGACGGGCGGTTTTCCAAGTAGGCTACAGCGGGCTGGTCCCTGATCAGCAACGCCTGTCATAAGGAAGTCGTCGTATAGGTACTGGGTGACATAGCAGCTGCGGTGTTCCCTGTGAGCGATACTGTGAATCAGCTTACTGAGGTAGTATGGGATGCCAGTGCTCCAATACTGTCATTGCCTTATGAACTCCTGTTGCCATATGTAGTAGTAAAGTGAACAGTAATTTCTTGAAGAAGACCCAACTACTCACGAGAGCCTGTGGTCGTTGAGCCCGTACTTGTGTGTAGTTGTTCAAGTGCCTGGCTAGAGACGAGCAAGAGTCCGTCCGTATACTCACGGTGCCTGTGTGCATCCAGCTCGGGAAGTGCCTCGCAGCGCAGCCTTATGAAATTGTAAGTGATCACCTCATGAGCTGGCCAGGAGTATTGGAATAGTTGATAGGTTAAAGACCTGCTACCATCGATTCACTCCTGTGGGGAGGACCAGCATTCGTGGAGGGTGCGCTACATGGTGGCCGATAAAATCGAGGATGTTATAGAAGCAGTCCCTGAGATGTCCATATGCAGTTAGAGTATCCGTTCCGTGTTGTATAAGCATCCATGTATTCAGATTTTCCCGCTGTTCATGCGCCTTCTCGCGATCTGAGCCGGAGGTACGTTGTGTAGCATGCGACCGT